CCAAGCATGAGAGCATGTTCTAGTACACCCCCAAAACAAAATCAAGACTTTGTAAAAGAGCATAATAGAACCCCTGTAAAAGATCTGGAGAGTGTGAAAAACGCAATGCAAATTGTACAAAAGTATTGTATGGGATCAGGAGCTAAAGTAAATGAGGACAAAACAATATATTTGAGATTTGGAGGGGCAGCGGTTTTAACAGAGCATTTTACTTTTAAGGAAACTAAATAAATAAAGATTTTTGGTGTTTTAATGGGGAGGGATGAAAAGAAAACAGAAGAAACTATGTGGGAGGAAGCGTTAGGAGGGATTGAAAGAAGATTGACTTTTTGGAAATTGAGAATATTAACTTTAAAAGGGAAGGTTTTAGTTCTTAATGTTTTAATGATTTCTAAATTGTGGTATATTTTATATGTATCATCTATGCCATTGTGGGTAGAAAAAAAGGCTTTTTTTTGTTTTTTTTTTATGGGAAGGGAAGCCGCCAAGAATAGCATACAACACTTCAATAGGAGCAGTGGGGAAGGGAGGACTGGGGTTAATGGATGTGGAACAAAGAAAGAACAGTTTGAGAGTGAAAATAATAAAAAAGTACTTGGATGAAGAAAACAAAGCGGCCAGATTTTTATAAAGAACTGATGGGGGCATGGGGCAAATTTTTAACTAATGTGCATTTTAAGCCACAAAGTAGAGAGAACATTTTAAATCAGCCTTTATTCTTAAACAACTGCATTTTAAATGAAGGGAAGCAGATTTTTTTTTAAGAAATGATGGCATGTGGGAATCACGAAAGTCAAAGATGTTTTATATGAATTCAAAGAGGGTTTTTTACCAGTGCAATACATTGTGGATGTGATGGAGGAGGCAAAGGAGGATTATAGCAGACAAGAGATAAACAAATATGATGTAATTAAGAATGCTATACCTCAAGAGTGGATAAAGAGAATTGAAAACATGGAAGAAGAGAAACAAGGAAAAGATGTGTATGTGAGGCTGGGGGAAAAAACTGTATGCTTTCAATTAATGTACTGTGAAAAAGTTTTATTGTGTTTTTAGAGATGCTGTTTTTAAGAAACCTGTTGTAAATTAATATTGGTTACAGCAATTCAAAGATTTAAAAGAAGACAGCATATGGGGAACATGAATGGGAAATTTGTACAGACAAAATTGGAAAACTCAGAATATTTTATCAGACGCAGTCATTTTTACAGATGTTATTTTAAACAAAATTTGAATGGAACCAAGTGCTACTTGTAAAGTTTGTAAAGATGATGATGAAGGATTTTTACACTTGTTTTTACATTGCAAAGAGGATTAAAAATTTGAGGATTTGAATGAGAAATGCAAAAGTATGATTTTAAGTTTGAGAGGGGAGGATAATGAATATATTGAATGGAATAAGGTGGTGATGCTGGGTCTGGATAAGCAATGTAAAAACAAAAAACTTATTAATTTACTTATGTTGATCAAGAGTGCAATATGGGAAAGAAGGGTGGTGGCAAAGAGAAAATATTTTCATATTTGCACACTATTTTAATAGTGTGGCATGGGTTTAAAAGGAAATTTGAAAAGTATGTTCAATGCCTGTTTTATTATTTTAAACAAAAGGAGAAAATTTGTGTTTTGTTTTTTTTTTACAATGTTTTTACACAGGATGTCTGTAAGGTTTTAAAGGACTCGAGTTTTGGAAATGCCATTTTTACATAATTGAAAGATTGTAAAAAAGATTATGTTTGCTTAGAATCTTTTAATGGAACTGAATGTCTGCACTTCTTTTATGACAGAGATTTCTGTAACAAAAATGATTAATGTTTTTAATGTGGAAAATATTTGATGTATTTTTGTATTTAAATATTTTCAATAAAAAAAGGCACGGCCCGATCTCGTCTGCTCTCGAAAGCTAAGCAGGGTCGGGCCTGGTTAGTACTTGGATGAGAGACCGCCTGGGAATACCAGGTGCTGCAAGATTTGGGTTTTCTTCACTACTTATCTAATACACTGTCCTTTAGGGTGGCTGATCATTATATAGCCCGCTCTTTGCGGCAGCCCTCACTTACGGCCATACTACTCTGTCTGCGTCTGATCTCGGAAGCTAAGCAGGGTCGGGCCTGGTTAGTACTTGGATGTGAGAACAGCTTTGCTGTTTGGGAGGGATCGTTTCAGTTTTGTGTTTTTTTTTTAAATGGACAGATTAATGGCTACAGACATGGATTTGGCACGAGAGACAAGGCGGCAAAATAAAAACGGACTGGATAAAAGACAACGAGTAAAGGATTACCCTGAAAAGAGACACAATCATATCTATGCTAAGGAAGTGATGGTGGTGATTGATTTGACGGCGGTACAGGACGGAAGAGCGGAGGACATTATAAAAGCATTGACAGAAAAGTTCGAGGTGAAGAGCATACTAGCGGTAAGACCAAAAATTATGAAAGAATATGAAATTACATTGGAGAAAGAGGAAGATATTGAGAAATTGATTGATCAAGATGGATTGATGATAAAAGGAAATTAAAAAGTTGAATAATAAGGAATTTGTTGTCTCTGTAGGGTATCAGAGCGACTCAGACAATTTAAGATTCGATCAGATTGGTGTTGAACAACCCAAAGAGCCGAATTCCACAAAGGGGCCCAAGACAACAGGATGTTCGTAAATCAGATCCTAGCACCAGCCAGTCTAAAGCAAGCCTAACCAACCAACTCTTTAACAGAACAGCTTGCAACATTAAACAAAATAACACGTAACACTTAAAGTAATCAAGATTGATGTTCAAAGAGATGCACAGCATGTAAATCTATGATAGTAATCATGATCACGAGCTCTTTGGATTGACTTCCCCCCACCTAGAGGACAAGAACCAGACTGAAATTCATTATGAGACCTTTTAACCTCTTTGGTCTTCACAGAGCACATTCTTACTTCACAGAATGGCACAGAAACTGCCTTTCCATGTATATATGTACCTAAATGATGCTAAAAGGACTTATGAGCAACTAATAATTTCTATGTGGGGAAGTCGTGGCCTAATGGTTAGAGAGTTGGAGCGCTCTCTTCCACCTTCAATACCACGACTGAGGTGCCCTTGAGCAAGGCACCGAACCCCCAACTGCTCACCGGGCGCCGCAGCATAAATGGCTGCCCACTGCTCTGGGTGTGTGTTCACGGTGTGTGTGTGTGTTCACTGCTGTGTGTGTGCACTTAGGATGGGTTAAATGCAGAGCACTAATTCCGAGTATGGGTAACCATACTTGGCCACATGTCACGTCACTTCACTTCGTCACTTCACTATGCATAACCATATTATGTATGTAACCCATACATTTGACTATCACTTATTGTGTTTGTATTTACTTTATATATTTAATTTATTTTGTATTTGTAGTCCAACAGCATTGCCTTTTTGCCACAGCATTATGACGCTGCTTTTTAAAGCTCTTTGAGCGTGCTCTGGCTTACACGCCATAGTTTTAGCTCCTCTAAAACCATGAGGAGAAAACCCATCTAGTCTCGTTACTTCTATTCCTCTGATCGACAACAAAGGGAACCCCCCTATACAGGCAACCAAGTACCTCCAGATTCTAGCTGAACTGGTGCATTTAATATAAATTTTAACCTCATTGAGGAACTCAATTTG